TATTATTACTTGGTTATTATTACTTAGTTATTATTACTTGGTTATTATTACTTAGTTATTATTACGTTACGATGGCGGCTCAGCTGACTTCGCTGTCCAGTAGAAGCTAGCAGGGTTGTATAGCATCTACCTGATGCGGCGAGAGGCAGGAAGGCGTGCGTCCGTAGATAGAGCCGATATAATGTTTGTGCTACAGCTTCCTTATTTATGGGGAGGGGGGGGAGGGAGGAAATGTCCTTTATCATAGGGAGCGAAGATATCATGAGCTGTCCCTTTATCCGTGGGGTGTAGCGGAGGTAGGGGTGAGATATTCATTTATCTGTGGGGTGTAGCGGAGGTAGGGGTGAGATATTCATTTATCCGTGGGGTGTAGCAGAGGTAGGGGTGAGATATTTATTTATCTGTGGGGTGTAGCGGAGGTAGGGTTGAGATATTCATTTATCCGTGGGGTGTAGCGGAGGTAGGGGTGAGATATTCATTTATCCGTGGGGTGTAGCGGTGAGATATTATGGAGATATTCATTTATCCGTGGGGTGTAGTGGAGTAGCAGATGAGATATTCATTTATCCTTGGCTTATGTAGCGGAAGTGGGTGGAATATTCATTTGTCTGATGCGGTGTAGCAGAAGAAGAGGGTAATATTTTTGCGTGCCCGCACTGATGGCAACAACTCCTACATACTGAAACAATACTCGCGATTTATGTTGTTTTGGTTAGCGTGTGGGATATCAATCTATTCATCTACGTGGGAATTCATCATACCGTCTGTCGCTTCCGTTTCTCTGGTCCTCTGTTCTCCTTGTCTTGTACTTTCTCAGATAAAACACGAATTTTGCAGACGTATTTCAACAAAGCACGCTGGGCTCGGAAATACTTGCGGTGCCATTATTGAGCGACAACACACCACCTGATCTTTAATCATTAATTAATTCACGGCGAAAACATTCGCCGTTTAGGCGAGGAGGTGCGAACCAAAGATGATTCCCATGACGACACAGCGTTTTTGCTTTTTCTCTCACTGAATTCTTCCCTTTCAAATAGCCGCGCAGTGAAAAAACTAATTCTCTCTCGCTCAGTATGCGCGTATGCTCGTATGCACGCGAGGAAGGCGCGGGACGTAAGAAAAGCCTTGTAAGACGGTTCTCGGAATGAAACGTCAGCGGATCGGCAGAACTGGCACTTGTTCGGCTACTTGTCGCCTGCTAAACCATGCGCCGTATTTGCGACTTTTTC